ACCACAGCTCCCTTGGGAGAGTGACGGGTCACTCTCATGTAACCCCGTTACACGCTTGCTTAGCCATTTGATTTGGGAGCGTACTCCCGGTTCAAATACGCTCAGCGGAGCAGACACGGCAAGGTGTGGAGACGGGACTGAAAGACCGGGGCAGTAGCTGCTCGTAGAGCGGTCATTAGCACAATGCCTTCAAAGACAGAATCAGTGTGAAGCCCAATGTCGTTCACAGCTGAATGGGTGTGGTTTTGTGTATTTAACTACTATTGCACTTATCATAGTACGATACAATTGTATGAACGTCTCATCGCACTTCGTGTCATCGTGAATATTCATAAGTACCGGACTTTCCGAAAGGAGAGGTGCGGACTACTTACTAGCCGCATATAGGAAAAGAACGGCAGTTTTTAAGGAACAACGTATTTAATCTAGAGTAAACTAACTGTGCTAGTACTCATGCTTCCGCTCTTGGTAGGAGCGCGAGAATCCATTCTCTGTGCGTTTGTTAACGCAGGGTCCGAAAAGCTGAAGTTATTTAAATACAGTAGCAATGCAGCGTATGGGCAACATATATAGAGCATAATGGGCATTATCAGTAGAACCCGAATACAGACACACAATTGAAGGATGCAAATCCGGCTTCCTGACAATTGTAAATTGCTATACAGATGTAGAAATGACAAGCAAGACCATCATGTTCAAACCGACTCTTAGCGAATCTTTGATAAAAATCATTATTACATCTATTCTTTGAATAGTTATTAAGGTCATTCGCCTTAACATTTTTCGTATACGCTCGCTTTTGCAAACAAGGCGGTAAGAGAGCTTTTTCATCAAACAATTACAAATAGCTGCACACCCAGCAACAGTCTCAATTAACATCAACAACTGTAGTTTTTCCCAAAGCTAATGTGTGTAGATTGCTGCAAATTTGCAGGTGAAGTTGATTACGTTCATCCCATTTAAAATATGATCTTCGGCACAAGACCCCGCGTATAACCAAACCTTCTGTTGTTCAGCGAGCGTAACTTTATTTTTCTTCACTCATTTAACTCAACTACAAACGGTAGTTACGGGAGCCATTACTGATATTTCCTAACATAAAAGAAGAGCTAGATATTAACCACAGGAGCACACGATTCGTCACGAAAATTCCGCATTGAGTTCACCAATTGTTTGAGTCGAATGTAGGTATCTAATGCCTTTCATACACATGCCTAATAATGTGTTTTTCTCGACTTTTGCCGACCCCAAGGCGTCGTTTCGCTCAAAATTCAAACGACTCTCTCCGGGTATGCGGTGAAGGCGCCGCCCCACCCAAATGTTGGTGCTGTACGGGTGTGTGGTGTGTCTGCGACGTTCCTCCGATGCCTGAGGCAATCATATCATTAGTGATGCCGACGCCTGGCGTACCAACATTTTGGCTACTTCCATAAGGACGATGTTTGTTGGTGCTCTGATTCAACCCTACAGGCTGCGATGGAATAGCGCGTCCAGCTACGCGCGGCGATGGAGCTGACGTGTTGTGTAGTGGCTGTTGGTTGTAATAGCTCATGGCGCTCGCAGAAACACCGGGTTCGGAAGTGAAACTAGGTGCAGCCGACTGGGTACCGTTATTATAGCTAGCATACATGGCGGCTCCCGTCGTGCTTTGTGGGCCCTGTCCCTTAGTAAATGTCACAGGAGTATTTGGAACCACGTCTTCATCTTCATCGTGTGCAGCTTTGGAGCGACGCACAAGCGTCAAAAAAATTACTGCGACAGCAATGACGCCGATCGCTGCGCCGATGATTGCAAAAACGACGCTCATGTCAGAACCACCGCTATCTGAGTCATCAGCTCCGGTATTGCTTCCGTTAGAAGAGCCAAACGATGTGGGATCAGACGACGACGTGTCTGTTGAACTGTTGCTATTCGGGCTTGGTGTAAGGGAAGAGTTTGATGCAGTAGACGTCGACGGGTCCGTATCGCTTGATGCAGGCGTACCACTTGTGTCTGTAATATTTGATGTCGTTGTGGTCGTGCCACTACCAGTGGATGCGGCAGTAGAGCTTTCCCATGCAGAAGCACAGTCCACACCAAATGGGCATGCATTATTTACCTTAACATAACAGCCGTCATCCGCGAACGTAATGCAGGGGGGGCAGCCACCACTCGATATGGAGCAGGGAGTGGATGTTGCTCCACCTTCAAAGCACGTTTCGATGGACGAGCACTGAGACGTGACTCTGGAAATGGCGTTGAAAGCTGTGAATTGTACGCATTACAGCGAAGCATAAAGTTAGCAGAAAATTTTACCACCATTAAGCAATATGATAACGAACCGGAAAGCGCTGCGATGACGCCGAATTGCCATGATAAGGTCTGCATTGTTCAGTCGTCTCTTTGCTGACCTGCACTTCGTCGGGCTAATAACTCTTTCGTTTTCTCACTCTCTTTATTCAGTACCACGACGACGCGAACACTGGACTCGAACGGAGCTCTGGCTGGCGTTGTATTACAGCGGTGGGGGTAGTTCACTGACCGTACAGAGGACTTGTCGTAATTCCGATTGCAAAGCCAGTTTACGTACCGTTTTTGAAAGCTCTCTCCCATCATTCATATGATCATTGGATGAAAAGCGCTAATACAGTTTGTAGTAATTTATCTTCAAGTTTAAAGTATAATATAAACGTACATTGAGTTTGCGACTACAGCTAAATAAATTCCATCGCACTATTACTGTCTATGTAGTGCATAGCTGCATTCACAGCACAATGTTGAATGTCGTCTTAAACCTGTGTTAAATGTGACTACTGAAGTGTTTGCTTAGCGAAAATGACACAACAGTAATTTGATTGTATATATCATATAATTCTGCACTTAAAACATGAAATCGAGCAAATTTTCTGCGAACTGATTAGTTGCTTTGAAGTACTGAATCCTTACATTTTTAATCTAATTGTACTAAATACAAAAGTGTATTGTACAGTTGTACGAATTTTATAACGCCCGTTGGTTCAATTGTCAATATTCATAGGTACGGAAGTGTCGGTAGCTATGAAGATGCTGGTGATTCATAAAAAGGGGGTCTGTGGTATAGTAGAACCTGTCTAAATTAAACCTGTTTAATTTAAAACCCTCTCTGAATTAAACAAAAGATATGGACCCATGTTGGGCACCATACTTAAATTAAAATACCTTTGAAATTTAAAAATTTGAATTTGATAGCTCAGTCCCGACAATTTCCTTAACTAAATCTCTCTATATAGTGTACGTAGAAACAAAAAGTCTGACGTATTCTGACTG